GGCTTCAGTGCCTACGCGGCCATCACGCAGGGCGCTAGCAGAGCGGCGCGGACCGCCAGCACCCGGCCTCTGCCACTCCGAACACACATTGAGACACATACAATGCAAGTGATGATCTTAAGGCATCCTTTGGCCTCGCCTGTCGAAAAGGCGAAGGCCGCGACGGCCAGACCTGGGCGCGGCTCGTGTCAAGTCGAAGTTTCAACTGCCGGTGCCCTTGCCACGCAGTCTTAGATCTGTCTGCTGTTCGATGCTGACCTGATCCATGCTGAAGGGCTGTCTTTCTCTGCTGGCTGGTGAAACTACGGCCGGAGAGCAGAAAAAGCAGAAGCTCTGCAAGTCGTTGACCTGCGCAGGAAGGGAAGTGAGATCTTCGAAAGATTAAGAGCTCTGTAACATGACCCGGCTGCAGATGAGCTCAAAGATGCTCAAGCACAAAGCCAAAAATCATTCAAGTTCCTCCTCTTGCAGCACCATACACGATGCCACACACATTCTTAAAACAACTCTCCGGAAGCAGAATCGCCTGGTGCTGCCGGAAAGGTCGAATGGTGGTGATGGCCAGCGAGGTGCACAAGATGAAGCCCAAGGTGAACTCCAGGCCATTCTCGCTCCCGACGGCCTCGTACCACCCGGTTTCCACCCCGTCCTGCTCCAGCTTCTCGGACTCCTCCACGGGCAAAACCCAGACCGTGACGTCACCTTCTTCGTGGCAAGGGCGGGAGCTTGGCTGAGGCTTGATGCGTGCCTTTCCGCGACAGAAATCGCGGAAGTTGTCTTTGGGAACGACCCAGTGAATTGATCTGGAAGCATGTCATGACGCCGTCCTTCGGAGCATGTATCGTGGGCTCCAGTCAACGTAGCTCTGAAAAGATCGGCAGTGCCGTCCACAACCTCAACATAATCCTTGGCACAATCGTCTTCCGGAAGAGCAAGTGCGCGGGCTTCAAATCGCGTCCCTCCATCATGCCCGACGTCACTCGCCCGACAAGGGGTTCGACCGTATCGTTGCGAGCTTTCTCCACCGGCTCAAGTCGCAAATCAGGTGCTTGAAATCAGGTGCCCGAACAACACCACCAAAATCGCCTGTAGCGGTCCACCTGGTTCTTGTTCAATTCGAGACGGAGAATTGCTGCTCTTCCCTGTGCTCGTACAGCTAATTCCGGTTCTAGCCTCGTAAAAGACCAAAGTCACGCACAAGACGAGCAACTCACTCGTGTTCCAAAGTACCAAGTGCAAGTAACCCTTCACAGTCACACAGCTCACAGGCACTCCAAACACTTCTTTCAGCTTTCTCGCACTGAAACACGACTCCGGTCTTGAGCCAAACAACATGCGTTTGCATGTGGGGCTTCCTAGGTCAAACACTGGGCTTTAAACACTCTCCAAAACTGAAGCTGCATAGTCGCAGACAGCTCACAAAAACTCAAATGCCACTCAAGGTGCTTGCACAGCTCCAAACAGATGCAAAACACTCTAAAACCGTGGCAACGCAGGAAAACAGAGCTGACCTCTACACTACACACTTCCTACTCAAACTGAGAGCCCACAAAACGTTGACTGTCTACACCCCCTTTGGGCTCGAAGCTCGAAGCCTCAGCGCTTAGCGCGTTGGCCGTGGGATGTTTGCCCGCTGGGCCTCGAAAACGCCCCTGTCCAAGCAATACGTGCAAAGGTTCTTAACCGTAGGCCTGTTTCTCAAAGTGTGGCAGTCATCCTTCAAGTGATAGCAATCACCGTATGGCGAGAAGAAGACGTGCCCCGAAAAACTCCTGCCTTCTTTGCTCTATGCCTGGATGTCTACAAACACCACGCACAACCGACACAGCTCATCCCAAGCAAAAGACTACACACAGCTGTCACTGCCAAAAGCACAATCACTTGCTGTTCCAAGGGCTGCAGCACTGTCCAAACTCTCAGACGGTTCTCCACACTAGTTGCCAACAACCCTACACGCTCAACAAGCGACATAGCGGCTCCTCTCTATACACAGACAGCGGGTTTGCTTGAGGTAAAACGGCTTTACAAACTGGAAATAATGCGAAGAACGATCTGGCACAAAGACTCGGGGTAGTGCTGGGTAGCTTTCAGGTCAAACTTCGCAGAGTGGCGGTGGTCCTTGGTGCACCTAATGACGTCGAGGACCTCAGCAAGCTGGGGTAGAGTACAGACTACTTTCCACTGCTTCCGGATCAACAGATCGTCTCTCCCTCGCATGTTAAGTGCACAAGCTTCAACCATGCACTCACAGATAGGGTACTTCTGACCTTCCAGAAAGCTCCGAGTTTGGTTCCACGTCCAGTACTGACACCTCCAGGGCCATTCTATGCTCCAAGCATGTACAAACGGCACCAGGCTCAGTAGCGACTTCCACAATTGTCTATGTGTGTCAAGCAGACTGCTTATGCGCGCACGGTGCGCTTCTCCGCCATTCTGCAACCACATACGCTGATATGGACAACCACCGGTGCAGGGTGTGCTGCTCCACAGGTACACGCGCATGCTCTGCCGAATCGCTTCAACGCACAAGCTCTTCAAGGCTGCAACCGTATCCGCTCTCCTGGCATCGTCCGACTCAGTCACTGTCACTACGTGCACAGAAGGGAACTCGTCGACAGCAACTCGCGAAAACGTGGATAGAAGAGGCGCGCAGAACTCGATCATCAACCACCTACAGCTACCTTTCTGCCACTTTCCACGCTCAAGCAACGACGTAACTTCATCACGCGCAACACAAGCCTGCAATGCCGAGGCAAAGGCGGTCGCTCCTTTCTCGAACTTGTGAAGGGCGAACTCGACCAAACCAATGGCCTTCATGTGCTTCATGGTCGTATGGATATCAAGGTTCTTGGTGTGTAGATCCGCAGGATTGTGTTCACCTTGATCGAAACCACCAAGATATTTCCCATTTGTACTTCAGACTGCACAAAGCATGAACGGAGCTCTATGTGCCTGAGCTTCCTGAGCCCATCCATCTTGCTTATGTTTACCGCAGCTTCGGAATCACAAAAGATCTGGGGTTTCAAACTTACAAGGTTGTCGAAGATGTGTCCTATAGCGCATCTTACCCCAAGTGCTTCCTTCGATCCCTCGATCAAAGCGTATAATTCACTCTCGGCGGAAGACAAAGCCACAGCTTGTTGGAACAGTATGGCATATCTCACCTTGCAGGCGTTCTATCATCTTGTGCATCACCTGATCCAAGCTGCAGGTAATCAGGATATCGTTGACGTATGCCAGTGCTGCTTGTATTGCCTGCGAAAAGAAGTCATGTGGAACATTTCCTTGAGAAGGCGTGACCCACACGGCTGGACACTCTCACCTGTCTTCCTCCAGAGTGACATCCAAGACGCTCCAATTCTGACACATCCTAACCAGCCAATGCACTCAAGCGGTTACCATGTTCAACAGTATCACGCTGAACTTACACTCAATGTCTTTGCAAACTTGGTGTCTCCAACGCCTGCGCCATAATCATATAACACAGCTACTCCAAGAACTTGAAGAAGATCGAACAGTTTCCAACTTGAGATTGGATGGATAAGCGATTGAAGCCTGGGCGCGGCAGGGGCTCCAAGTGATCCAGCGTGTTCCATCGCAGACTACAAGGCTTTTAGGGCACCAATCGAACTCTTACAGTTCCAGGTGAGCGTGGCAGGCTTCGCAATGGGATTGCTAAGAGGCTCTTCCATGTCGGGCAACGCACCTGGATGCAGACTTTTCACAAACGATTACATCTGCATTGGCTATCAGCTGGCAACAGTTTACAATTCAACAATTCATCTTTATTAAGCGGATTCTCCGGAGTTCTAGAAGATGGAATTACAAGGTTCTCAACTCCAAGCGCACTTATGGGCTCTTTGACGGTATGTATGCAAACAATCAACTTAGTCTTCGATTAAGAACCAAGCTAAGGTTTCACTTAGTGCGACGACTTCTACAACACAACAACAACTCTCCTTCTTTTAGGCCTCTTTTACAACCACAACGACTGCGACCACCGTGAGGAATTTGTCTTATTAGCGCATTGGCCAACTTTGATCAACCATGAAGGAATTATGGGCACTGCTTTAAAGGGGTGGAGGTGCCCACAGAACTCCGGAAAGCTGTGAGTCAGGCTGACCTGGACTTATTGCCTTTTTGGACCTTTTAAACCCAGGGAACCTTTGCCACCTTTGTACTCCAAAGAACCACCCTTAACTTGACCAATGTCCATGGCTGCGGTTTCTGCTTGTAGAACTTCTTTTTGCGCATACGAAGACTTGGTGCTAAAAAGGTTGAAAGGGTTTACTTAAACTGCATGCGCTTACAACGAAGCCTCTCTGACTTGTTGCAGGAGAAGGTCTCGTCAGAACGGTGGACAGGTTCTGCATTCCGCCTAAAATGCTCTTAAGAAGGATCGAGGTTTAAGGTTCTTCTTCACGCTTCTTGCTGGATGAACGCTTGCACTCTTCACCGGGCAAGAAACGGCTTGTTGGTGGTGCAAACGGGTGCGTCCAAGGAAGGGCCGTAAGGATTTCAAGCGATTTTGTGGCTTGACGGCTGAAAGGGCAACTTTGAAAAGCAAAGCTGTCCTTGCCTCGACTTTCAAGATGCTTTTAAAGAAAGCTGCTTAATTGCCTCATGCAACCAAGTGTCTCTTTCGACTTCTGCTATACTGGGTTCAGTCCTTTCTCGAGACCCTGTGAGAGCAAAAGCAGCACACGCAATACCTTGGGGTTGAGCACAAGGTTCATTCAATCCTTGGGTTATGTAACAGTGGAGTTGAGGTGTAATGCCAACCAGCTACACTTTCGTTGCAGCATGCTGTGGTAAATGCAAGACAGAGGCTGGAATTAAAGACGGTTGAAAGGAATCCTTCTGTTGGCCACCACCAAGCCAACGGGTATGTTAAGAAAGTGGTAGATCTGATTTGAAGGTTGGTGTGCACTCTCTTGCTGCATGGATCCGGAACAGGTTCGCTGTGGTAGGAGGACTCACGGCGTGTGAACGCACTTGCAATGCTGCTTACCGGGAAGCTTGTGGCGTATGGAGAGCCAGTGTTTGCACAAGTGCATGCAAAATGGCTGAAGGCAATCTTTACCAAGACTGGTCTGAACGACATGTATGTGGTTGCAAGCAAAGGTGGTGTTCGAGTCACTCGATCGGTGAGACGCACAGGTCACGTGTGGAAGCATGATGCTTTGTATGCCGATGTTGAGGGTTTTCCTTGGAACTACAGTAGCGGGGTCATAGGAATTAAGATGGTTCCCCCTGCCAAGACAAGGAAGACCTTGCCTGCACCAAAGCAGCCCACAAGACGTTGCAGCTTCAGATCCACCTGAGACGCCAGTTCCGATGGGGTTGACTCCTACCATGGGATCAGACGTAGGCCCCTAACCCGAAGCATTGCCTCCAACACCCGTGGGAGGTAGTGTGGACCCCGAAGCCCCTAAAGTGCCTTTCAGTCGTCCACCACCGCCAAGCTCCAGTGTTCCAACACCGGAACCCGAGCTTCCAAATCCTTCACAAAGGCCACATGTGCCTCCTGCAACACCTGTGGAAGATCTGCTTCCACTCACAAGTCCTGGTGCCATCAGGTGCTGCTCTGGAGACAGACGAGGCCAGCGATGTTCGTGAAGAACGTGCTTCGAAAGTCCCAAGAATCCGAACGGTTTCTTTTGGCAACAAAGACGACGATTTGAATGACGAGCCCTTTAAGTTTGTGGATGCAGAATGGTCGGACTTCGAGTTTGTTGATCCGGACTACGACAAAAGCTCGAGAACCGAACCCGACTTGGCAGTGCAGAACGAGGCGGAGCAGAGCGTTGATGCCAGTGCTCTTTGGTTTCCAGACAGTGGATGTGAACCGAGTCTTTCAGAGTCAGAGTTGTTCGAAATTGACAGGATCGCTGATGCTGTGGAAGTGAATAGGCTGATACAGAAGGGTGTGTTGCGCCCATCGTCCGAGAAGGACAACGTTTCATCAATGAAGAGCTTCTCGACCAAAATGGTCAGGACTTGGAGGTCAAAGAAGCGGAATGGGGTGCCTCATTATCTTCGACGTTCCAGGCTAGTGCCCTACTAGTGGCAAGAGAGTACCGCTGGTTGGAAGAGAAACAGGGGCTATTTTCTCCAAGTACCACGACAAACATGGTGAAACTCATTCCGATCCTTTTCCTTTTGTGGCGAGCGACGAGGCGAGCAATACGCAATATGTGCTATGGACGTCAAAGACGCCTATCTAGAGGTGCCTCAGGAAGAGCCCGTCGTCGCAGATCTACCCAAAGTTGACGACGGCCTCATGCTTGCTCCTCTGACGTGGCTCAAACAGAAGTACATTCCTACGTTGCAATCACGATTCGAGATTTCGGTAGGCTTGCTGTCAACTTGTTGATAGCGCCTTCGTGAGGAGCGAACGCTTAGGTTGCCTGCAACCGTGCCTTTAAGAAAAACAAAAAGAGTTTTCACAGTGCTTTCAAAATTTTCTGCATGTCCATCTTTCATGTTCTCTCTGCATGTCACCTTGACAGCTTGTGTAGTCTTCATGCCCGGTAACAGTGGCTGACAGCTGAGAGATGCAGAAAATTTTCTTTGGGCCTGAGGCTGCGTTCTAGAGTAGAGGTCTCGTAAGGGGTGCTAAGGGACTGGCCTTAGGCCGTGTGCAAGCCAGTGGCGTGGCCACTGGCGGATGGTGTGTTCCTTGGCCCTGTTATGAGCGGTTCTGACAGCTCTGAGGATTTTTCTTCTTCTTCGAGCGACGACCGCGTTTTGATCCTTGCAGGGCCTCTGCCGCCGTTTCGGCCAGTTTTGTTGCGCCCCAGAGCCTTCTACGACGATCTGCTGCGTGATCAGGTTGCCGCTCCCACCGGCCTTTGGTCTTGGGTCGTTGACAGCAATTTGGTTGCCGTGCTTCTGAGCCAGAGCGAGGGCTCCAGGATTTTGCTGGCACTTCCTTTCCGCAGCTGGCCCTCGCTGCTCTGCACAGCCAAAGGTCCTCACGCTTGCTTTCGCGTATTGCTCACTTTGCCTTCTTAAGCATGTCCGATCCGGCCAGTGCTACTGAAGCCTCTGGTTCCGCCAGCAGATGGGTCGCAGTCGCGGAGCATCCTTTCCCGCCTGAGCCCCCGACCTTGCCTGCCTGTGCAGTGATTGCCCTCGAGGCCCCTGCGCCTGGGCCGCTGACTGTGCTTTCGGATAAAGGGGGGAGTTTAGGGAATGCTTCTGTTGGGGGGAGTTTAGGGACTGCTTCTGTTCTTTCCGACAATGTCTCAGTGTCCGATGGCGACTTCAACGTCGCCGAAGATGCAGGTGTTGGCCCACTGGGGGCTTGCTCTCCTGACCCTGAAGATGACACCCGTCATCCTGATTCTGAGGGTTGTGCAGGTTTACCTCTCGAGTCCCGCGTTGACACCAGCTTCATTGATCAGATTGTTTGCCAACAGGTTGTTGCATCCCGAAATTTGACGCAAATCCGTCTGCCGTGGGAGCAAGGTCCTATGAAGTGCATTTTCAGTGATGATGCCGACTTTGCTGTGCAATCCCCATCCTTGGAGCCCTTGTTACCGCCAGAGGTGAGCACGCCTGATCGGCTGGTCGAGTGCTTGGAGCATGTGACCGACTTGAAGTCATTCTTTCAAACCACGATTTCTAATGTTGCTGACTGCGATATTAATGAGACCCTTGGAAGTTTGCTTCACATTGCAATCAATAAGTTGTGTGTCGTCGTGGAACGGTGCACAGGACAGCCGCCCGACCCTGAGGACATTGAGGCCAGGACGGGGCTCCGCAGCCCCTACACGTTGATCAAGAGGGCCAATTCCCTCCTCGCCTATCTTCGTTGGGTCGATGGTCAGCCCCTTGCAAATCTGTCCTTCTCGGGTGTGTTCCAAGAGACTCTTGTTTGGGAACATTTTCAGTACTTGAAGAAAGAAAACAAGCCTCCGACCAGCGGTTCGACGTTGCTTTCTGCCATGCGGTTCTTGCACTACGTCCTTGAGGTGGATGTGCAGGTATGCATTTCTAGCCGGCGCATCGTCGGTGCCAGTCAGCAGTTGGCTGCTAAGACCCGTTGGCTCAAGCAGGCTCGTGCATTAACAGTTGATCAGGTTCGCAAATTGCATGAACTTCTCGAAGGCAGTGACGACCCCCTGTTGCGTTGCTTCGCTGCATATGCCTTGATCGCCGTCTATGGACGATGTCGGCACTCTGACCTGCAGTGCATCTGGGACCTGGAGTGCGATTTCGATGGTGTTTCGGGCTTTCTGCAGATTCGAACAGGTCGTCACAAGACCTCGACCACCGCCAAGAAGAAAGCGCAGTTTTTGCATATCTTGGTCCCTGCACAGGGAGTGGTCTCTCGTCCCTGGCTGCCTCTTGCAATCCAGGCGTTTGAAGCTGTTAACCTGTGTTTAATTGGCAAGATTGACGGGCCCATTTTCCGCCCACCCCTTGATGCTGAGTGCTCTGCCCTCTGTGCTCGCCCCGTGTCCTCGCAAGAAGTGTCCAGGATGCTTCGTCAAGCCCTCGATTTGCCTGAGGACTCCGGCGTGTCCTCCCATTCCCTCAAGGTCACTGGCCTGTCCTGGGCATCCAAGGCTGGCGCGCGCGCTGGCATGGACCGTGATACTTGTGCTGTCTTGGGTCGGCATGCTCGCAATCAACTCACGACTGAGGTTGTGTACAGCCGTGACCTCAGCGCGGCCCCGTCGTTGGCCTTTTCTCGCTTGTTGCATCAGGTGGCTCTTGGGGTGTTCATGCCAGATGCTCCTTTGCGCGCTTTCTGGAGCGAGTCCTGTGAAGCCTCTCCTGGCCTAGCACCAATTTTGCCTGTGGTGCGACCCTCCGGAGCCATCAAAGTTGAAGATTCCGCCTCCGAAGCCGCGGAGTCTGCGCATGAGAGCAGCGAGGATTCCTCCGCTTCTGAGGCCTCCCGAAGCAGCAGCTCGGACAGTGGGACCCCTTCCTCAAGCCCTCCCCTCAGCAAAAAGGCCCGCTGCTTTCTGCCTGAGACACGGGATGAGTCCGACGTCTGGGTGATCCACCGTCGTTCCCGCAAGTTGCACTTGGTCCGCGGCCAAAGAAATCTTGATGCGTGCCTTCAAGTTCTTGCATGCGGACGTGTGCGCTCCGATGCGTACAGAGTTGCCGAGGATGCTGACCTGGATGCGGTCGAGTGTCAAGGTTGCCGGCGATGCATTTGACGGTTGTGGAAAAGTCGGGTCCCTCTGCTTGCGAAGGTAAGTAGTCGACCTAGGGTCTGCAATGAAGTGTTGCGCCCTCACAACTGTCATGCTGCTGTCTGCCTTTTTCGGTCGAGTGCACGGACAAGGGGGGGGGGGGGGTTGAGCATGAGTGAACGTGAGTCATGTCGGCTGCTTGTTCTCTCTCGCCCCCCCATCAAGTCGAGGTTGGTGACGACATGACCAATGCTTTCATGCCATGATTTGTTGTGTTGATTCCTGATTGACATCTTGATGTTCAGTTACACTCAGTCATGTGAAGTTGTTCGGGTGCATTCTGTCATGTGAAGTAGGTGCCCCTAAGTAGCCTCTCGAGTGCGCTGCGTGAGAGCCCCATGTCTGTGCTGGAGTCTGCCGCTCACTTTCAGGCGAGATGCAAGCTGTTCCGCATCGGCGAGCCCCTCATACGTACCTTGACGCGTCTGGGTTTTGAGACTCTTGGGCAGCTCGCTTATTGCGTGGGCCAACCAGGTCAACAGCTAGCCGATGATCAGTGGCATACTTGGGTCCAAACCTCCATCCCCGCCGCATCAGCCGGGGAAGCTGCGAGTGTACGCCGACTCGTCTTCGAGGCGCAAACACTTACCTTGGCAGATCTCAAGGACCAGGTTACCAACCCCAGTGCCTCTGCCGCCCGACCCCTTGCAGAAGCAGAGCGCGACAAACGCATGGCTGCTTTAAAGGCCAAGGTTTCCGGTGTGATCATAGAAGGTGATGCGGAGCCCAGCCGGGCCCTGTTGGAATTGGCCTGCACCATGAGTTCGCTGGATGAGATAAGGTATATCGCCCCTGAGAAATGCACCTCCCGCTTGAGCGAGGTAGCCCTTGCCAAGCCCCTCGCCCGTGTCGTCGAGCTGGAGCAGCAGCGGCTTGTTCTCAAGGACCAGGAGCTCCCGTGTGACGCCCAAGTTCACAACCCCTTGCTCCTCTCTGCAGCATTCCGTCGTCGAGGACTGGCGCTGGCATTTGCAGACGTGGTTGATTTTCTTGCACATGAAAAATACGTCAATGAGCTGATGCGACACCTGACAAACCCCGACGCCCTGCCAGGGGGTGCTTGCCAGCTGCATCAAGTTGTCGAGGCTGACCGCTTGGTTCATGTGTGGATGCTTGAGAAAGGAATCCGGCCCCGGCGCAAGAGTGACGGATCCCGCGCCATGGATGACGCTCTCTTTGAAGCGCTCTCGTCGTATCGCGTTTCCTTCGTCTTGATCCCTCGTGGAAGCACGGCTGCTGGGAGTGGCGGCGGTCGAGGAAGGAAGCGCAAGAAGACCAAAGATGACAAGGGCAAGAAGGATGATAAAGCTGAGAAGATTCCCCCTGCGCCCAAGGACCCACCTGCTCGCCCCCCGAAAGGTCCAGGCAAAGGTGCTGCCAACCGTGCGGCTGTCCCCAAGGCCATTCTCGACAAGGGTGGCAAAGCCCAAACGCCCGATGGCAAAGCCATCTGCTACGGGTTCAGCCTTGGGGAGTGCCGGGTGGCCAACTGCCCCCGTGCCCATGTCTGCGCGCGTTGTTTCGGCAATCATAGCCTCATGCAGTGCCAGCGCAAAGAGTGACTATCGCCAGAAGCCGCTTCGACCAGTGTCACTTCGAATTCGTTTTCTGCTAGCCAGCCTGACGTGGCGAAGATGTCTGACCTTCCCCCGCAGGTGCTGACTCCTGCCCTTTGCACAGATGAGTCTCGCGATCTCCCCGCTTCAGGCCAACCTGTTCTGGAAGTTCGCGAACGGGCTAATCTTTCTCCTGCATACAGGCCCCTTGGTGAGCCCGTGCCTAGGCCCCCGGTTGCTCCCTCCTCAAGCACCTCTGTTGTTCCCACTAGCACTGCCGCGTCCGTCAGGTCACCTGGCTCTGCAAGTGACCTGCCACCCCAACCCGAGCCCTGTGAGGGTTCGCTGGGGTCCGATGTGGGGCTTGTTGCTGGGTTTTGGGGGCTTCCAAGTTCCCCAAGAGCGCCCGTTCTTTTGCGTCCGAATTGCCATCCAAAAGAACGGACGGTTTCTGACAAAAGAACGGCGGAAAAAGGGCCCGGAATGGACCCGGTGGACCCCCATACCGAGCCCCGCCCTGAAGCACCTGTACGTGAAGCGACTGTGCAGGCGCCAGTCCGCGCTGATGATGCATCCTGTTCTGCCCCCAGGCCTGCTGTGGCTCTTGACTTACGTGAACAGCCTTCGCCCTGCCAGTGGGTCGTGGACGTGGCTCGTGCGGAGCATCTTGCCCGTGCCTCTGTCAACAGCCCTTCGCTTGAAGCTGCCCGGCGCATTCTTTGCCTGCTTCCCTCTGAGGTCCCCGCACGGGGCCAAGCGCATAGTGCCTCTCACTCCTGGACCTGCGGCATGTGGACCTGGGGTGCCCGTGCGGGCGTTCGCGGCTTCACGAAACGTTTCCCCGCTGTGACACGTTTCTTTTGTGCTCTACTTCGCCAGCACTTCCCTGGCCACGCATTCACGAATGCTGCTGTGTTCACAAACCTGCGCGCGGAACCGCACGTTGACTCCTGCAACGTGCCTGGTTTCCCCAACCTGCTTCTGCCAATCAGCCTTTTCCGGGACGGCGACGTCTGGCAAGAATCTCCAGTTGGCCGTGTTCCGCTGGCAGGGCACGATGCCCTGGGCATACGGCTCCGCGTCAGTTTGGGGCCCCAGACCTTAGACGCCAGCCGCCTGCATGCCACACTCCCTTGGAAAGGCGTTCGGTGTTTGCTTGTGGGATATTGCCTTCAGGGTTGGGAGCGGCTGTCCGAGAAGGAACGACAGGAGCTCCTTAGTTTGGGTTTCCTTAACCCCGGTTCCCTAGTCCAGCCTGCCCCTGTGCGGCCCCTCACGCCCCCCACCCCGCCTTTAATTTTGGAGTTATTCTCCGGGTCTGGTCGCGTCACTGCGGCCCTGCGTGCACTTGGTTTTGAGGCTGTTGCCATTGACAAGGTCAAGAGCGTTGGGTGTGCCGCCCCGCCCTGGGTGCTCGATGTCTCTACGCCAGACGGCCTTGCCCAGCTGCTCCAACTTGTGCAAAACCCGCGCGTCTTGGGGTTGTTCGCCGCTCCGGCTTGTGGCACGTGTTCTCTGGCCCGTGGCATTCCGTGCTGGGACAGCCAGGGCAATCCGGTGCCTGTGCCCCGGCCTCTGCGGTCAGACCGTCACCCGGACGGTATGCCCGACCTCCCCCCCGGTGATGCTCGCCGTGTGCGCCTTGCAAACGAAAGCTACCTGGCGCTTCGACAGGCCGTGCGCCTGGGTGTGCAGCGTGGCATCTTGATTGCTGTGGAGAATCCGCGGTCATCCTTGTTTTGGAAGACTTCCTTTTGGCGCGACGTGGCTCCTGCTTTTCGCTATGTGGATCACCAGGCGTGCGCCTATGGTGGCGACCGCCCCAAGTTCACCCGGATTGCCTACACGCACCCTTCTTTCGAGTCCTTGTGCAAGCTGTGTCCCGGCTGCCCTGCGCATGCGTCTTGGGGTGTCGACCCCGCGGCCCCCAACGGTTTCGCCACCAGTCGGGAGACCGCCTACCCTCGTCCCTTGGCTCATGCCATTGCGCAGTGCTTCGCGAGTGCCCTTCCCACTGTCGAGCCGCCGGGCCTCCAGCTTCCGGCGTTACGCAGCCTGGCTGGACTTCAACCAAAAGCTAGCAAGGTGCCAGCCTTGGTCCCGGAGTACAAGACCACTTGCGTGGTCCGGGGGCCTGCCGCCAGCCTGGTCCCGCCTTGCCAACCCATGCAACGCCTCGAGCAGGCTTGGCCGGTGCCTGCGGATTGTCAATGCAGCTTGAAGGTCATACCTCCCTATGCTCAGTTGCTGCGTCTCAGTCCGGTTAAAATGGGAAAGCAGGATGAGGAAACTCGTAGGCATGTTGAATTGGCGTGGGGCATTCCGTGGTCGCCAAGTGAATTCATTCAGTGTGCTTGCAAAGCTGTCCACCCTGTGGCCCAAGAAGCACAATTACCCAGCGAACTTCTTCAAGCCGTCGAAGTGAATTGCAATGCGACGACAGCGTCGGCCCTTGAAGGGAAGCGCACAGCTTGGTTTGAAAAATGGTTCAAACGGTGCTTGGAACTCAGGACAGACGAATGCAAACTCAAGGATGGCATGCATCCCGACGTCCGAGGCATCCTTGAACCTAAAAACCTTCTTGTCTGGCGCGAAATCTTAGATGACCTCAACTACCCTGACAAAACTGTCATCGAGGAGGTGATTTCAGGGACCGTGTTGACTGGTGAAGTTCCGAGTACTGGGCTATTCAACCCTGTTTTCAAACCCGCGGCAATGTCCGAGGACTTGTTGCGAGACACCGCCGATGAGGGCAGGCACAGTGTCTTCCGGAGTGTTAAGTCGCAGGGTGATTTGCTTGACCAAGAAGTAAAGAAGCAAACCCTTGAAGAACTACAGAAAGGTTGGTTAGAAGGGCCCTTTGATCCGTCTGAGCTGCCTAACGGCTCAGTAGTTTCTCGCCGGTTCGGGATCCAGCAAGGGTCAAAGGTACGTCTGATAGACGACCTCAGTGCATCGCACGTCAACTCGTGTGTCCAAACAAATGAGTCTCCAAAGCCCCATTCCACCGACGTTCTTGCTGCACTTGCCATTCAGCTCATGAGGTCCACCAATGAGCCACTCTTGGGTCGTACCCATGATTTGAAAGCAGCATATCGACAGCTGGCGGTGTCCCAGAGTTCCGCTTGGTGCTCGTACGTTTGCATCTGGGACCATGAGCGTGCCGCCCCCGTGTGCTTCAGGCTCAAAGCGTTGCCTTTCGGCGCGTGCAGAAGCGTTTATTCGTTTCTGCGCGTAGTGCATAGCATCTGGTTCATAGGGACTGTTGGGTTAAGCCTCCCTTGGGTTTGCTATTTCGATGACTTCATCACGATTTGTTCGGGCAGCCTCGCACACAGCACTGACGCTACCATCAAGCGCTTATTCAAGCTCCTGGGCTGGACACTGTCCAGTGACGGAAAGAAGGACTTGCCGTTCAGGAGGTCTTTCGAAGCTCTTGGCATCGTCGTCGATTTAGAGGAGAGCGCGAACAAAGTTGTGAAGTTTGCAAACACCCCATCCAGGGTGAGCGAACTCTGTGGGTCCATTGGCGACATACTCGACGCTGGTTCCCTCAAACAGCCTCTGGCCTTGAGGTTGAGGGGACGCATGCAGTTTGCTGACAGTCAATTGTTTGGAAGGTCCGCTAGGATGTGCCTTAGACAAGTCACCAAGCACGCCTATAGTGATGTGTCCGATACCTTGTGTGAGGATTGCGTTTTCGCTCTGGACAGGTTCAGGAAGATGCTTCTGGAGCACAAACCCAGAGTCTTGAACGGATCTTTGCGGGAAAAATTCGTCATCTTCACGGACGCCTGCTTCGACCCAGAGGCATCGGACTGGGCGTGTGGTATTGGTGGCCTGCTGTTCTCTGACAGAGGTAAACTCCTAGGTGCCTTTTCCGAGCAACTTGAGCGCTGGCAGATTGAAGCATTGACCGAGGGCTTTCGTAAGACGGTCATTTTTGAAGCTGAACTTTTGGCAGTTATCGTTTCGCAGCTTGTATGGGGACACGTCATCAGACATGCACCTGTGCTGTGGTTCGTTGATAACAATGCCTCCCGCGACATCGCGATTTCAGGCTGCACGAGGTCTGACAATGCACAAGCGCTTCTAAATGTCTTGCTGGAGAGCGAGGAGCAGTTCGATGTCAAAGCATGGTACGCCAGGGTTCCTTCTCCGTCTAACCCTGCTGACCGTCCCTCTCGAACAAAGCTGGAGTCCTACGTTCATGGCAACACTTTGGTTGGTGCAGTTGACGTCCGTCAAACCCTTAAGGCTGTTTTCGAAAACTTCTTAAGGAAAAAGGTAAAAAGGTGAAAGTCGGATAATGTGGGGAGTCAGTGCTGGGTTCGTATTGCAACTTTGCATGAGGTGCCAAGTAGATCTACACGGGCTTTCCAAGGCAGAAGGTTTGTCCTTGCGTGGCATGAGGCCCGCATGTGCATGCTTGCCCACGCTTCCACGTGAAAAAAAAGGAATGTCCGAGTGAGTGCGTTACTGTAAGCGTTGCGCTCTCTGAACCACACCAAGTGTAGGCTCATGTGTCTTTGTTCTTTGTTGGCTTAAAGGTAAGCTTGAGCGGAGCACGAAGCTTGCTGTCAACTTGTTGATAGCGCCTTCGTGAGGAGCGAACGCTTAGGTTGCCTGCAACCGTGCCTTTAAGAAAAACAAAAAGAGTTTTCACAGTGCTTTCAAAATTTTCTGCATGCCCATCTTTCATGTTCTCTCTGCATGTCACCTTGACAGCTTGTATGCAGTCTTCATGCCCGGTAACAGTGGCTGACAGCTGAGAGATGCAGAAAATTTTCTTTGCCCGCCCGCCCATCCCAGTGGGTGTGGCCGATCCGTGCCTGACGGATCCCGCCTGTGGATCTTCTTCTGCCAAGATTGCGTACAAGAATGGAGATGTCTTTTCTTTCTTGAAGAGAAAGCACACTATTTTGGAGTCTGGGATTTTAGTGGAAACTTCGAGCAGCTACATACGACACATGGCCGAAGCACTTGATGTCAAGCATGGATCGAAGTACAACACACCATATTTCCCGGAGCTAATTCGCGAAGATGTTTCCGGTCCTCTTGATCCCGTTCGAGCAGGAAAGTTCAGGAGTGCACTGGGAATTGCGCTCTATTTGTCAAGTGATCGTATTGACATCTGCTACTCTGTCCGATTGTTGGCAGGATTCATGGCGAATCCCAGTGAACAGGCATGGAAGGGATTGATTCGACTGACGAAGTATTTGCTGAACACGGCTGAGTATGGCACACTTCTTTCAGCCAAGCTTCCTGGGTCTTCAGTCTTTCGCGAGGCGAGCCATGATGATATGAACCATCGAATGGATATCTACAGCGACTCTGACTGGAGTGGACACCGGGTTACAAGAAAGTCTTTTGGATCCGCTTCGTATGCGCTGAATGGATGTGTGTTCCATCACATTTGCAGGTCACACCGTACAGTGAGTCTTTCGTCTGCTGAAGCTGAATGGTATGCTGCAATAAGTGCTGCTTGCGAAGGAATCTTTCTGAGGGCGATTTTCGTCTTCATGGTAGCCGCTGCAGAATGCTCCTTGGATCTTAAGATTGACAACTCAGCAGCGAGACAGTTGGCATTGCGTCAGGGTGTGGGAAACAAAACTCGACACGTTGCAGGGCGTCTGCTGTGGCTTCAGCAATCAGTGCGTGAGAAAGTCTTGGATGTTGGAGCAATTGCAAGTGCTTACAACCTTGGCGACTTGTCAACAAAGATGCATAGTGCTAACAGACTCCGAGCTTTGCTATTCTTGCATGGGTTTGTCGATGCTTTGACAGGCGCAGCTGTGGGTGAAGATGATTTCGCTCGAATGGCCTTGCAGGAACAAGCAAAGTTGCAAGTCAAGAGAGTGCGTGTTGAATACGCTCGGCAACATGGTGTGACTGGTTCCTTGAAGGGTGAAGCCGGCAAGCTCACAAAGCAGGTAGCGCTTCTTACTCTTCTTTGTTTGCCTACAACATCAGAAGCGGCAGAGGCGGGGATTCCGTACCAGAGTTATGGCATGTCGAACATGACCTGGGCCACCGTCCTGCTATGCTGCTGTTTGTGCATTTACCGGGCCTTGAGCTGGGCTAGGGATCTACATGGCTTCGACATGAACAGTCTTTTGGAGATGAGCTCACAGGACTTTGCGTCAAAAGTGATCATGTGTGGACTGATGCCGGAGTGTACCATGGAGCAGTACATGTGTTTCTTTCTGCTTGTGGTGGTGTGGACAATGCATCGCTACATTCTTCGACTGGAATGCGAGCTGAAGTCGACATGCACTGAGCCGGTGAATCGTGAGCCGATGGGAGCCCGTTCGAGTGTCAATGTGAAAGTTGTCATACCCCAAGAGCTCTTTGTCACGCTTCATGGTGAGTGTTTTCATCACAAAAGCTGTGGAGTCTTGAAGACTTCCAGAAATCCTTCAAAGAGGTTGAGCTTGTGCAGTCACTGCAAAGACATGCTGACGAATGCAGAGTAGCAGACACAGAAAGTTCATGTGAGATGTGCAGTTCGAACACACTGCAATCTCAGGCGGGGTGATGAACTTTTACGTTACCCCCTAGTATACCTCATGTACAGATTTTGTAGTGCTTTGACACGTCTTTCATGTTTTGCCACGAGTGCATTGCATGAGCCGAACGATGCGATATTCAGGCCCAAATTTGTGTGGAAAAGACCGTTCGTTTTTACATAGCCGTTACCATAAGTGATAAGTGTCTTCTTCCATACGGAAAGTATCTCTTACCGGAGCGGAATGATTGAACAAGGTTTTGGCATCGAATTCTCGGAGCATCACTATCTTTAAAAAGCCTGAGGTCGTGGTGTGCAAGTGGTTAGTAATCGACTGTACACAGTCCCAATCTAGGTATGCGTGTCCTAAAAGAAAACGCATGTTGTGATCTATGGCTTTCTTGTTGACAAAAGGAGGAACACCGTGGATGATGAGCGTGCGTTTGTGCATGTCTGCCGAAGTCCGAAGTGGCCGTATTTTCGAACTGCTGTAAGGAGAGTCTACGGTCAGCTATGGCCAAAGTGTCCCGGAGATCGCGAGCTGTTCTTTCTTCTTTTGAGGCAAGAGCAGGCATGACATGAGTCTGGTGGTATTCTGCTAGGACTGTCTTGAGGTTATCCGGGGTAACTTCTGGGAGCGACTGCTCTACCGTAGCTGTTGGAACATTTGACGAAGGGAAAGGCTATACTATTGACGTGCAGTCGGGGTTGCTTAAGGGGCTTGCGGCTTGCCTTAAATGCTCTTAGGGCTTCAGGGTTATCTTGAAGGAATCGAGCTTGTTGAGGGTCCATGTCACCCCATTCGATGGGCTCTTCGTCTTCCTGTTGACTGAGGAGGAGAGTTGCCTTGTACGATCAACTAGAAGACCTGTCATAGAGGAGATATTGGAGGAGACATTGGCTTTAATTGCTTCAAGGAGCTTGTCAAAATGTGGCTTGGGGATAGCACTTTCAATACCGCCGGTGCTAATAGCATAAGTACCATCAGATTTCTCGAGGATCTTGACATCTGGGCCGAGGATATACTCTTCAGGAGTAATTGCAGCCAAGGGTTGATTTGCCGGCACATCTGCAGGAGCTGCTGCTTCAGTTGGCGCAGTGACAGGCCCGGGCGCATATTCTCCATCTGTCGGCGCCATGGATGCTTCCATGGCTATCACAAGTGCAGTCCACTTACCGTAAGTAGCGAGGCGCAACTGGTAAATTGGAAAAACAAAGACAGATAAAACCACCCTGAGATCACAAACACTGCAAAACATAATTGAAAGAACGTAAAAGTGCGGTGCGCCAAAATGTCGCCCTAGTTGTACCCTACGTTGTAGGGGCTCCCACTTAGGTTCCTCTCTATTGCGCCAAATGTGGAGCGCAAGCTTGCTGATAGCAAGATTGTCATTGCTGGAACAGTAGGCATCTTCCATTGACTTCTTCGTCAGAAAGCACGGGTTGGTGTATAGGAAAACTGCTAGGGCGCCAATATGCTTTCTGAGTGACATGCCAAACAGACAGGACATTGCGTTGATAGCAACCAATGTTGATGCCTTCAAACTCCAAGCGATCCATCGTGACCTGATGCAGTTGCATGATCAGGCACTCAGCAAACTTGCAGCCAAATCAGGCCAAGTCGAGTTACAGGTTTGGCTTGGAGTCTCGCCCATGAAAGGCTTTCCTAATGGCAATCTTTCTTACATCGACATCCCGTTCCCACTTGACAATAAAGAAAAGAGCGCTGGGGCTTTCGAAATCCATCTTAAGCTTAATGAGCTCCGGATCCATCATGCCCTTTGAGATTGTACACAGACACCTTCACTTTCCCGAAAGCCATTCTGAACTTCGCAGCTGTCACTTACATATTCCGGACAGCATTAAGCTGAAAGCGGCTAAGTTCAGCCTCTTTGACATGCGGAAAGATACCAGGAGGGTGGAGTAGTCCTTCACTGCCCGAGGAAGCTCCGAGGAGATATCCCTGCAAATTGCTATTCCAGCAGGTATGCCTGATATCTCATCGATTGAGCTGCAGCTAAGTGGTCTGCAGATTGGATTACGCGTACTTGGTTAGTACAAGTCAGGAGACATGACGACACCATTATGCCTGTCTGTCATTTCACTGCGCAGCCACAATTTATTGCAGATTAAAGTCATCGAGTTTGGTCCCTTTGAAGGTCATATTGACCTTTTGCAAGAGGTTGTTGGCGCGCCTACCTGGGCTTCCAAGCCGATGAACCCGCTTTCTGAAACTCCATATCAACACTATATCCGAAATCAATTGTACTTGCACGCAGTGCACGCAGCCTGAGCCCATAGTGTCTTTGCCACTGCATATTGATGATGGTTCTGATGGTGCAAATGCGCTCTTTGCAAATTTTTTCAGCAGCTTGCTGAACTTGCTTTCGCGCATACGGAACAACATCGCATTCCGACTAACGGTGTATGCATTGCCAGTATTAGCGGCTTTCCAACGAACTTCTGTTTCCAGACCCAGCACATCCCGCATTTTGCGAAGCTGCACTTTCGTTCGAGCAAACATGGAGGACGGAACTACATCAACAGCGTCCTGTTCTGAGCGAGGGCTGTGTTTTACCCAAGTTGTTCTTTTGGTTTTGTTTCCGTTCTGCTTGTGGCGTTTTGGTCGCTTTGTAGTCTCTGCTTGTCTCACTCAGTCGCAATAGACCGGCCCATTGTGCTGCTGATGTGGTAAAGGGGCGTCCGCTTAAAAACAAAATTGCTTGGCGCCGAAATGTTTTTTCTTGACCCTGCCATCTTGCTTTTGTTTGGAAACGAGTCCGGGGGTCAAATTTTTTTCCTTTTTTCAGCCACTGTTCGGGGCCAAGAAAAAGACAAGCTCTCTTCGGAATTCCTTTGTTCTTGCCCTCAGAATGTCTGTTTCATTGACTTCGCCAGCTTCTTTTCATAATCTTTAAGCTGGGCCCGCCACCCTTCGACGAAGGGGGGCTTAAGAGGGGCCGAAAGGTCGGACCCTTGAAGCGGGGGGGGCGGGGCTTCAAAGGGGGGCTTCAAGGGCAAGGGGCCAAAGGGGGAGGGGCTTCAAGGTGGGCTTGAAGGGGGACATGAAGGGGGGGGCCACAGAGGGGCCTGAAGATACGTGCTGGGCCTTCTGCACAAAAGGAGGCTGAGAGGGTTGACGAAAAGTTGCACGTCAGGGATTGAAAGCGGTGCGGGACGGTGCGATGCCCGAAAGGTGCTTGGCCTGCTGAGCTTCCCTTTGCCGAGCACAGCGTGCCACGACGGGCTTGTTGCCCTTGAATTTTGATGTGTGCACTCGAGGATCAAGGGCTATGCGTGCAAAGTGTACAAATACAATCAAGCTCCCGGCGGGATGCATTCGCAGTGACAACGATGTCATGTGTAGTGTGCGAATGGTGTGCATCAGTTTGTTCGCTTCACGGGCAAAAGGCGTGTCGTTTGAACGCAGTTTTGGCTCAACAGGTGTTTTTGCCGTCGAGCACTGTTTTGCCACCGCGCCATGAGATGTACGTGTCTGTTATTGATGTTTTCTGTATCTCTGGCTGGCAACTTGCATGATTGCGCTGATCATGGCCTGCCAGCAAGCTATTTGCCTTGTCCCAATGAAGGTGTTCCATTGTGCTGTGACGGGAGGTATGAAGCCTCATTGGAAACCATGTGTCAACATCCGAACTTGTTCCCATGCAGAAGAGTTCTTGACTCAAGCAGCATCTCCTCGCCGTATTCAGATGTGCCACTTACCAGTTGGCCTATGTTGATGACACACGATGCCGCTACCGGGTACATGCAAGGTTCATTGGATCCTAGGGTTGTCTGGGGTCAAACGCAGCCTTCCTCCACGCAAGCTTTCACGTCCCAGCTGGATTGTGGAGCGCGAGCCTTTGACATGCGGCCGCACGTTACCAAGAAGGGCGATCTGGTTTTTCATCATGGTGATGTTGAGGTGTCGCAAGATGCCGAGAAGTCGATAGCAGAGATCGTGCAGTGGGCACACCTGCATCCCAGTTTGGAGGATTTTGTGTTAATATACAATTGGGACTGCACCGGCATGAATTGCAGCGACCGTTTCGAAGGACTGCTTGGAAAGTACAACTTGAGGACTCTTACAGATTGCAGCAAATTGAACCAAACACTCAGTACAGCAGCATCTATGGCAAAATTGCCTCAAGGAGGCCACGTTCTCGTTGTGAGTGGTTGTGTGTCACAAAAGTGCAATGCAAGTCTGGCGTGCTCTGGATTTGATAAGTCTTTGGATGCGGTACCGTTTACGCACACTTTGCCAGCAGATTGTCGGGCGCTGGAAAATGCTTCGTTCGATGAGCAGCTCCGTTGCGGACACGCACTGCAGCAGTCCAACAATCCAGCTGCGCTGGCCTTTGGTTATTACCACTGCTGGGTTGGCGATTCTGGACATGATTTTGCTGTCCAGCGCCTCATGGATTATTTGGTGCAAGTAGCCTCGAGCCCTCCACCCGGTGACAGCTTCACGGAGCTTCAAGCTTTATGGCAGGAAACCCCTCAGTCAGTGGCGAGCCATGGCGAACTTCAGTTCATATCTTTTTTTTGAGAGAGCACACATGTCTTGCGCAGGTGACCGGATGTGCATCTTCAGGTTTGTCCTTTCTTGTTTCAGGATTGGCATAGCGCATTTCAGCTCTCTGCTCAAGGACCTGTTGGGGCGTCCGAAGGTCGATCTGCTTTAAGGCTCTTCGGTGAGAATTGCGCACCGTGATGTTGCAAGCTAGTTTTGGCCTTTGCTCGGTTGAACATGAGTTGAAGTTGCAGTGACTACCCTCCACTCGATGTCCTCGGAAATGGTAGTTGCCCGTGTCGGACCAAAGCCTAGAATTTCTACAAAGTTCGATGGTTGCAGGACGAGGAGCGTAGCAAGCTCAATTCCTTCATGGTGGAGAAGATTCGAGATGGAGCCTTCCAGCACATCAGCTTGTTCGTCCCTCGTCTGCAATGCTTCAGCTGTTTGCATGAAGTGCATGCGCAGGTGGACGCCGGAACTGGTCTGATGACTTTAGGCTGTAGATGTGCTGTAAGAAAAGTTCACAAAAGCAGAGCAAGCCATAACAATAATAATAAAAATAATACTAATAAAAAATATTAATATTAATAATAGTAATAATAATTCGAACAAGATTAACAATAGTAATGCTATTCAGAAAAGCAGAGCATGCCAAGGAGGTGAACAATGTTTGCGACCATGGCCCAGAGCTGCTGGCAGCAATGCGCCTTCATCTTCGAAGGTCGCAGTCCAAGGGACAGTTAGTTTCACTGCTCGTTTGATCGCGCCTTTGATCGCCGGTTTGGGTACAAAGAGCTTCTCCTTGAGTGCTATGCAGCAGTTGGCAAGTGGGCTTGCGACACTTCTGGGGTCCTTTCCGCTCTTGATTGGCTCAAGCATCCACTGCAGTGTCCAAAGTGTGCCAGTGTGTTGCGCGCCAGAAGCCCGGAGTTCGTGTCTAGCAAAGCGTTGCAGTTGTGTTCTTGGGGCTTTTGGACGAGCATGAGCCAAGCTAAGTCTGTCAAGATGTGATGAGTCATTGCTGGCATGCTTTGCGTTGTGTCCTCGTGAGAGCAACTTAGTCCCGGTCTTCAGTCCCTAGAAAGAAGGTGTTAGGGGGGTATTCCCTTCCAGAATGTGCCCCGTTTGGGTGCCACCCTTTCACACTTCCCAGGGGGTCCACAACAGGTGTTGTGCCAGTGCCCTGGGTTGGGACTGGCCGGATTTAAAACATGCCACGAGAGCAGCTTTCTGCTTTGTTTAGTAATGTCACCATGGTCAAAACCAAACATGCAGCTTTCCATTTAGTGGTGATGTCCCGGCGAGTGGTGATGTCCCGGCAGGATTGAGCATCGAGCCCCCCCCCCCCCCCCCCGCGCACGGCCAACTGGCAACCAAGCATCAGCCAAGGGTGGAACTACAGTGTGGGTGTCTGAGTTCAAGATTGTCGTTTCCAGGGCGGCAGAGAACAGTCGGAGAGCCCAAGAGGCTTTTAGGTTATTGTTGGCCACGGGCCCCAATGGCAACAGACACATACCGGCTGCAGATGGTCGGGGAGGTAGCCGCCAGCTACACAGGGCGGCGTACGCGCCCGGGCACGGGTTCGGCTGATTGCGACAAGAAAACATCACGTCTTTACATGTCTTTACGTCTTCACTGTCCTGAGGGCAGCGTGGGAGTTACCTTGCCCCACCCTTGCTGCTCCTCTTATGATGTGCTCCAGGAGATGTCGGAACACCTTGGATTTCAAGAATTTGTAGAGAACCCTTGGGCGTGAAGGCGCCAGAGTTGGGTTCCGTGAACGTGCCACGCGCTTTCGAGTTGACCACATCTTTTCTCACTTAGAGCGTTGCCTGGGCAACAAGGATAAGCGTCGGCTCAGTAGCTGCAGATACCTTCCAGGCAGCAGGTACCTAGCCCCTCTTCGCACGTGAGATACATGCAGGGCTGTCACAGCGACACTACCAAATTCCAGTGGCCCATCGACACATCGGGACATGCGCGGCTTAAGCCTGCATGACCGGTGAAATGCGTGCCTCAGATGCGGATGTGAGGCATACCCCGTGGCTAAGGCGTTTGGAGTGCGAGTCCGTTCTTTGGATGCGCTCGTGAGGAGCCAAGTGCGGGCGTTCCGTAGAGAACCCAGAAAGCTGGATGCAGCTTTGCAGGTCATGAAAGTTGATGGAACGTGGTCTGGATCCCTGAAAGCAAAGCCAATGGACAATCATGGGTTTCGATGGACACTGGACATGTCTTTCCTGACGTGTTTCTCAAGGTACAGAACCATTTGGCTAAAAGATCTTGACACTGCCGGCAGCTCAGCAACGGAAGCCTCGCAGCAGTCCTAAGCTGGAGTCCATCGCCCTGGAGCAGCGAGGTACAAATCATCGACCAAAGGCAAGTCTGGTGTGCGTGGTTTATCGCAAAAACATGTTGCTTGTACTGAACCTGGAGTAGTGGAGCCGACCACAGGCATCTCCCTCACGAGTTTGTGATCGAGGTGGAGTTGTAGAAGCTTGTCACAACGCGCGTTAGGTAGCCATATTCCAGGGCAAGTTCGACGCAAATGCTCATTCTTGAGCCAGGATGTCCTTTCACTGGATGAGATGTGTGTCGTCATCAAGGCGTCATCTGACCACAGCACCTGAGTTTCTGTGACGGCAACGGAAGGGTTGAGCATCCTTGGAACAGACCAGTTCTCTCCCTGTCCGTGCAGGATATGCATGTGCGAGGTGCCGGCCTCATAGGCCGGGGCCAACACATTCCCTGAGCCTTGTTCTCACATTCACTTTACGATGCGGTACAATTAGTATGATGTAGAAGTCCCAAGCACGCTCTGATCTTGTGTTGCTTGGTCAGGATGTGCTGCAGCGTACGGGATGTACCTCAGCCTTCGCAAGCTGTGCACATCAAGCAGTGTCGAACAGGCTTGGGCCATCCGCATTCTCAAGGGGTCTTTCAGTGGTCGCCTAGCACACGGTTATGTTTTGCGGTAATGAAGGTCCGGGAATGCCTTCAGAATGCGTCAAAGAAGCTGTGTGCGACCCGCCCGACGGCGGTGAATCTCCGAGTTGGCCTTTGCCTCAGTGGTATCTTGAGCCGAGGAAGTTGCCCCACAATCACAATGATCTGTGGCTTTCATGTGAGCACAGGGCAGCAAGTTTTGGAGCAAAGCAGTCCGAATCAGGCCTAAACAAGGTAGCACGCGGGCTGGTGCGCCCTGCGCCTTTTTGGCTTGCGTTGGGGTGTACTCACAGATTCAAAGCACCAAAAACCCAGCAATTCCGGCCCTGAGAGCCAGGAAAAGAACCCGAAGGGCGGGCGCTTTTTTGTGTTTCTGGGTGGTTGGCCGAGGCGAGAGCCTTGTTTTGCAATGCAGGAAAACAGAAAACTTGTTTAGACGACATTTTTTTTTGTTTTTAGGGTATTTGTTGGGGCTTGCATGTGTCGGGCCCCAAACGTCAAACCTGCGTGAGGCAAAGGTCATCACATGTCACACTCAAGGAAGGAGAATGTACCTGGCACAGGTGTCAGAAGCTTCCTCCCCCCTACGGTGGTCTCATAAATTTAGCGGGTGCCGTAGAACTGGGAACCTGTGAAGAGTGGCTAGCACGGAAGCGTGGCCGGCACCTTCGGCCGACGGCGAACAGTACCTACAGCGAAACTTTTCGTGTTTCAGAGGAAAAGGACTTTAAATTTAAGGGGGCCAAGAAAAGGGGCCAAAATCTAATCTCCTAAGGGTATTTCAGGCCGACGTGAACAAAAAAAGGGAGCTGTATGAGGGCTCAATTGCATATCTCGCCTGTATGCACGCAAAGAATTCACGCGTGGGCTGTAAAAAACTCATCCATGACAACCCTGAACCCTGACTGCTCCACATCAAATTCAGATTTTTGAGGCATCTGCTGCAGCGGGCACATGGCAATCGGACCCCCCTAGCTCCAAACCGTAAGTCCGCGGGTGAAGCCTCGGGAGTACAACTGCTTTGCTTCCCAAAAGACGCGCGGCAGCGACCTTAACCCCTTCTTGAGTCCGAAACTGCAGGTGGCAACCAAACCTTCAACCCTAAACACGCTGGTTGCAAGCACGGGCTTGCTGGCCTGTTGAGGCGTTTTGGCACCCGAAAGGAGCTCACAAAGAGTTGGGTGGGAAATCGACCGGTGGGCACTTGCCCAACATGCAGCGCTAAATCGATCTGTCTGATCTCCTCTTCGCATTGCTGCTGCCTTGCAATGCTCCACATGCTCAGAGGGTTTTTGAAGCCAAGAACCGCGACGCACGAACTGCTCTCAGGGCTGAACCCTTGCACACTTACAACCCCCAGAAAAGCTGTAAGTTGCAACCCACTTACGCAGGCTCCTGAAAGCACCCTGGGTCATAGAGTCATAAGTCGAGATGGACTGAGAAGCTTAACTCCAAGTTGTAGACTCTTTCATCTCCGCACTCAGGCGTTGAAAAGGTTGGGAGGGCCGTAGAGAGTGCCGGATGCCTGGACCGCCGTTGCAGCTTCTCCGGCCTGCAAGGAAATGGTATCGCCCGTCTTACCCGGGTAACCTGGGATGTTCACCCCTTATACTAACAGTCCTCCTTAATAGGGATTATCAAAGGAGAGTACTATCATCCCTACTGAGGACTGTTAGTATAAGTTGGGGGAACATCCCAACGTGCTTCCTGTGTCTCTTGTCCTGCGTTCTCAGGTCCTGGGACAGAACGGTGGTGGCAGTGTGGAGGCCAAGAGTGTTCCCGGGGCATCGGTGGGGGCTTCGTCACGCTCCCAAATTTCACGCTGCCATTTGAATTTCAGCGTGAGGGTTCCTCGCAAATCTCGGATGTCTTGGAAACACCATGTTATCCACTCTTACCAGGACCCTCCGACAGTTCCTGCCGCAGAACCCATGCAATGCAACGTTCTGTGGAATCACGGCAACAGTAGATGTCAAGACATCGTGTAAGGAGTCCGTAGTCTTCTGAGTGGTGTAGTCTTGTCTTTGTGGCTGGCGTCGTCGTCCGGTACAGCATGAATTTTGTGACCACCTTCGACCATGGTCGACCATGAACTCTCTGCTTGAGGCGGCATTGGAGGCTGCCCGCAAGGAGGCTGCTAGGATCACGGATGAGGCTTGCGTGCACACAAGTGTGCTGCTGCCCTTTGCAGAAGTGCGCCTGGGCAGGATGCGGACTTTTGCCGCCGCATTGGGGAAGCGGGTGCCGACCTGCTTCAGAAGCTTTATGAGAGGTGGTTCTTCCGGCTTTGTAGTCCTTGTGCCGGGTACGTACCGGAGCTGGTTTTCTGTGCATTGTGTAGGAAGAAGTCGTCGGCAAGCGCAGCAGAAGGAGAGCTGAAGATCAACGCAAGACGCCTAACCGCCTAGCCGTTGCTGACCCAGAGTGAGTACGTCAAAGGAGCTTGCATGATGTGGGGCACATGCTGCAACCTACAGCACGAGCATCAGAACAGGAAATGTGCAGGGTGTTCTTTTTTTGTTTTTTCTTTTAAACTTTTTGTCGGGTGGACACCTTACAGTAGCCTGAGGTGCTAACGCACTGCAACGCCGGCTGGCTGGCGTTCGCTGACTGGGGTCGGCAGGGAGAGAGACGAGCTGTTGATGTCCCCATTGAAGATGCCTGCAGGCTCCGCGCTATCTCCCGCCATGCGCTCATTTTTTTTCTCTGCCCCGTTATCATTATTATTATTATCATTACTATTACTATTATTATTATTATCATTATCATTATCATTATCATTATCATTATTAGCCAATCTCCTATGAAACTTGCTTGAGGGGTGCACGAGGTGTATGCAGCCTTCGACAAGGGACTTCCCATCCATGTCTGGGCGCCTCGGTTCGCAAGCGCTCAGCCGACTCGAGAACAGTCCTGCAGTTTGTGTTTTTTTTCAAGGTGGATGAGACCCGGCCACGGAACCAAGGGGCGTCGTTGACAGCCTGGGAACTGGTGGCGTCCTCGGCGAAGACCGCTACAAAAAACACCGACCCTGCCGACCTTGCTCGGATTCTATCGAGCAGGCAAAGCACGGCGTGGCTCACACGGTCATCGCTGACAACGCTGGTGGTCATCTCATGAGGATCAACTTGTGGTTTCTTCTGGTACTCCCCCGCCCCCCCCCGCCCCCGCTGCCATGTCTTTCTTTTGGGGAGGAGCCATTGCTAATCTCGATTGCTTTGCCTTGCGAATGCAAACTTACGATGTCTTCGTATTCTCAGTCATGAGGGGCCGTGGAGCGAACGCAAAGGCATGCAGTCCCACGCTTCACGAAAACTTGGATTCTGTGCACAGAATCGAAGTTCATGAATCCTGAGAGTTGAGCTTTAATCCTGGTTTGTCCAGGAAAACGGCGAGATCTTGATAGCTTATGCAGATGCAAGTCTTTCAATCTCCTTGCATTGGAAATGTGGCCCTTTTTCCCATTGTTACGGGGCTTGTTGGATTTCTCGGCAGATGAGTTCTCGATCTTCTTGGGGCGAAATTCAGCCATTCCTTCTCTTTGAATGAATTTGTGGATGAGCTTTTAAGCTTGTGTGAAGCTTTGGATAAAGCCCGAAAATCTTCAGTTCAAAGTTTTCCAGATTCCTTCCACGGAGCCCGAACAATTGTGCTTCTCTTTCTCCCCAGAATCGGCTCACAGGCCGGTAAACTCCGTACCATCCAGTCTTCTTGCACCTCTATTCCCAAATGGACCAGCTCCAGGGGGCTTGCTTGAAAGCTGAAAGGAGACGGAACAAGACTTCAAGTTCTTCGCGGCATGAACTTCGAGAGTGCACCTCTTCAGTGAGAGTTTTGCTGAAGGACCGGTTTGGTGGACGTGGTCATCACTGGTGCGGACCGAGGCTAAGCCTCCCAAAAACCCTTTTTGGTTTCTGGGCCTGCATTCCACCATGGCTTTCTGTTCCTCTTTCCAGTCTCCAGCGGTGGAGATGCGTGCAACAAAATCGGCACCTACCTGAAGGCGGTGGATGCGCACAGGGCCTTGCCACCTGGAAAATAGCGTCTGGGTCGGGGTTTCGCAGGCGCTGGCGGCCAAAGACAACAATGTGCCGCAAACGGCTGAGCGCTCACATGCACAGAGAGGGCACAGCACATTCGGGTCTCCCTTCCATCCCTTTCCAAGAGGGGAGGACACTTTTGAGAGGTTCTATGTTGCTTTGCCCTCCAGCACGATTGACTGGCAGCTTAGAGACGGGGCCTGCTGCTCAGAGTGCGAAGGCAGTGGTGGGGTCTTTTGGCCCGGCATTCCTGCAAAGGCTGTAAGGTCCGTTCTTGACTGTTTTCGCAGATGTCAGTGGGACTGCAGCTGTGTCAGGACAACCTCAGAGCCAAGGCAGAAATCCCCATTGAGCAACGTGGCGATGATGAAGTGAAGTATGCGGAGGTGCGTTTCTCTGCTTGCGCGTTCCGCTTCTTCCGACAGACAAGCGAGGATTTCTCGGTAGACAGCTGCAGACAGAGCAGGGCTGTTCCGCCACAGAGTCAGAGCCCGAGCGCCAGGGCCTCTGTGAGGATGGCAAGCGTCGTAGGGCCGGGGCCTTGCCAGCGAGTCGTCTTGTGACTTTTTTTGGAACCTATGTACCTATTTCATGGGGACTTTCACATGCTGTCGCGTGGCAGGGTGAGCTTTGAAAGTGAGACATCCGGAAGCAGGTGCTCCTGACGCCCGAAAGCAGTTCGGCTGGCAATTGGGCGCCGTGCTGGCATGTGCTTTTTGAAAGAGATGGTACGCTGGGAAGGTTGGGTGATGGAGTAGCAAGGAGTAGCGTGGCAGGTTTGACGTGACGCCGTCACGTTTGGTCACCGGGCTGCTGACGGAGCCACTTTTCCGGTGCCAAGAGATGGGTAGCAAGTTCTCTAAATTGGGGGGTCTCCTTCTTGGGTCCTTACTTTAAGGGTGCCGTACCCTAAACCCTAAACCCTAAACCCTAAACCCTAAACCCTAAACCCTAAACCCTAAACCCTAAACCCCAAACCCCAAACCCCAAACCCTAAACCCAAAAAGGGACCCGAACTGAGAGATTGGGACATGCAGGAGCGCGGACTGGCGGAGGCCTCCGAGGAAGGCCTTGCTGCCCTTTTCTCTGAGGCCCGACATCAGGAACCCCGAAAAGGTTTTGGGGGGGTCATGGGGGGTTGGGGTTTAGGGTTTAGGGTTTAGGGTTTAGGGTTTAGGGTTTAGGGTGTAGGGTTGGGGCTTTGGTTTCGGGGGTTAGGGGGTCTGGTTTGGGGGGCTTGGCGGGTTTGGGGGGGTTTCGTAACATGGTTTAAAGAGCGGCCGCATGAAGGGCTCCCAAAAAGAGACCCATCTCGTGTACCCAGTGTGCTCTGTTGCATGAACCCTTGGCCTTGCTACGGAAGGTGGACCGGACCTGAGGCTTCCTGTGCGACGCGTTTAAAAGCTGTGCAGATGCTCTGGGGGGGAGGATGGGGCAAGGATGCGACTCACTTTTCACGAGCATAGTACTGGGTGCTTGTGAAGGCTTCGCGTCGATGATTCTGGTTGGCTTTCCTTGTGCTTTCTCTTTGATGTCTTCTAGCGTCCATAGCTCTATGGTGTTCTTCCCACAGCTTGTCACATCTTGGTGGACCCATGAAGCTCTCTGACTTCTTGAGCTCAACAAAGAGTTGGCTTCATGGGAGACCGCAACATGTGTGGTTTCTGGAAGGAGACGTGTAACAGCTGTAGAAGCAAAGCATGACAGTCGCCGAAGCACTCCACGTCTTTCAAAGCTTCTGTGGCCTTTTGGTCAGAGGTCGAGGGCTTGAACAGCTGCTTTCTTGGCCGAAGTAAGGGTCTCTTTTGGTTGTTGTAGACTTACAACATATCGTTTCCTTTTTTGTTTTTCTTTTGTATGTTGGAGTGGCTTGGTGCAAAGCAGGCGACCCAACGAAGTAGCTCGGCTGGCATCGGCTCGTTACTGCGAACCAGTGTTTTGATGCCGGACTCCCGAATCCGCGCTGAAAGGTTTCCCGAAATTTTCCGAATCCGTGTTGTCCAGTTTCCCACATCCCGTTTTTCAGTTTCCGAACGCGCCGACGTCCAGAGGAATTGCTGAGTTTCAGATCGCACGACTCCTTGTGGCTCAAGCTGCCAGAGATGTGTCCCTGAAGAGACCCTTAAGGGGCGGGTCCTGTCGCACCTTCGCCCGGATGCCGGCACCACGGCCAGCGTCCGCGGGACGACCCCCCACTGCGAGACCTTCGTCTCCGGCCAGAAGGCGACTGGGTGAGCCCAAGTTTGGCAACGAAGGGGAGCCTTGGAATGTGTATTCCTTACAGACATCCTGGAGGAGGTCGTTAATTTCTTTAATTTCTTTGGTTTCTTTAATTTCTTTGGTTTCTTTAATTTCTTTAATTTCTTTAATTTCTTTAATTTCTTTATTTTCATGATGAGTAAGTGGTAGCCGTCATGTTGACGTCCGCAGTGCGAGCGTTTTTTTTTTTTTTTTTTGGGGGGGGGGGGTGGTGCACCTGTTTGCAAAGGAATTTCAGCCACCTTCCCCAGCTGCGTTGCCATCCTTCCAGTTCAAGGCTGTTGCCAGGCTGCATGAAGTTAGTTCAATAGTACTCGTAGAAAATACAAATAAGAAGGATAAGAAGAACAATATTAATAATAGCAATAATAATAAGAATAATAATGACAATAAAAAAGATCATCATCGTAATCATAACAGCAGTTGGCTGTTGATCCTCACATTGTGCCCACACGCTCCGCACCTCAGGATTTGGCCCAGCATCATGAGCGTATCGAAGCGATCATCAGCGAGCTGCTTGAGCGCATCCCCGAGGTTACTTGCCAGGTCCGCGAGGGTCGTTTAGGGTTTAGGGTTTAGGGTTTAGGGTTTGGGGTTTAGGCCTGAGACCTGCGAGGGTTTCTCTTCTGAAGTGTTACAGGCAGTCCGAGATGAGTTGGGTCGTGGGAAGCTTCCGTGGCTGCCCCAGACTAGCAGTCTCCTTTTGCCAGTGCCTGCAAGTTGAGCTGCTTCCTTCCGGGGCTCCTTAAGGTAGGGTTTAGGGTTTAGGGTTTAGGGTTTAGGGTTTAGGGTTTAGGGTTTAGGGTTTAGGGTTTAGGGTTTGGGGTTTAGGGTTTAGGGTGTGTCAGGGGAGGGCGCGCGCTCGGGTGTGAAACACCCCGGGCCGCGCGCTCGCGTTGCCCGTCAACCCACCCCGGCCACCCAAACTATACTCTATTAGGGTTTAGGGTTTATGGAATTTATTTTCTTGTGCTCTGATCCTTGCTTTGATGTTTTTAAAGTTGCGCTGTTTGGGTTTAAGCTGGGGTTGGGGGTAGCCTCGGCCCTTTTCGGGCCTTCGGCGTGTCAGGGCCCGTAGAGGCCCTTATTAATTTGGATTCCCCTTCTTTAAGGGCCTCAATTAAGCCTTTTGGTGGCTCTTGGGGCCTTTTGGGGGCTTCCTGGGGAAAATCGCATTTTTCATTGCGGGTACGGGCATCCTGGGGTCCCCCTTCTTTTAGGGGGCCTGTTGAAGCCGTTTGAAGCCTTTTGGTGGCTCTTGGGGTCTCTCGGGGCCTTGTTCGGACCTTGCTTTATTCATTTTGAAGGTCAGGGAACCTATTGGTTTTTTTCGCGAGTATTTCAATCGCTAGGGTTTAAGCTGGGGTGCGGGGTAGCCTCGACCCTTTTCGGGCCTTCGGCACGTTAGGGCCCGTAGAGGCCCTTATTTGCTTGAAGGGTTTTGCGGTGTTAGGGTTTAAGCTGGGGTTCGGGGTAGCCTCGGCCTTTTTCGGGCCTTCGGCACGTCAGGGCCCGTAGAGGCCCTTGCTGATTTGGGGGCTTCCTGGGGCTTTCCTGGTCTTTTGGGGTGAAATGGAGGGGCGCCCAAAGCCATCGATTTCAGTACTAAAAAACAACATTTTTCATTGCGGGCAGGGGTGCCTAAAACCATCGTTTTCAATATTTAAAAATCGCATTTTTCATTGTGGGCACGGACATATCTTGTGGTCACCCTTCTTTTAGGGGGCCTTTTGAAGCTTTTTGAAGCCTTTTGGTGGCTCTTGGCGCCTGTTGGGGGCTTCCTGGGCTTTCCTGGTGCTTCTGGTGTAAAATGGAGGGGTGCGCAAAACCATCGATTCCAGTTTAAAAAAAAACATTTTTCATTGATGGTACGGCCCTCTTCGCCCGGGCACCCTTTGGCTTCCTCTAACCCTTTTAGGTTCCGTAACGCCTCTTGCCAAAAAAATTCTTGGCCCGGCCCTTGGTAGGGGTGGCCCGAGGCCCCTTGGCTCGGGGGGCCCTTGGAAGGGCCCTTGGCCCGGGGGTTGGCTTAGAGGGCACTTGGTTTCGGGAATTCTTGGCCCGAAACGAAAGGTCCTTGGCCCTTAGCCCGAACCGGCCCTTGGCCCGCCGGGGAGCCCCTTGGCCCGAAAGGCCCTTGGCCCGGAAGGTCCTTGGCCGGGGCCCTTGGCCCGATGGGCTCTTGATTTGCCCCCCTTCCTTGGCCCGGAAAACTCTTAGGGCCCTGGGGGCCCTTGGCCCGGGACAGGGGCCCTTGGCCCGGAAAACCCTTGCGGCCCCTTGGTTGGGGGGGCCCTCCCATGGGGGGCCCTTGGCCAGGAAAAGCCCCAAAAATGGTCCAGGAATCCAGCTAGCAGGGCGCAGGGGGCCTGCGGGGGGGGGCCGCAAACCCTGAACCCAAATTACGATTTGGGGTTATGCTACGCTAAAGGTGGTCTGGGTGCCGGCCATCCCTTAGCCGAGTACGGACGTTGTCGTAAAAAAGGCCGATGTGCGTTGGCCTGTCCAGGACAGACGGTGAGGCTTAACCCTCACCTTTCCGTTTCTCTTTTCGCTTGGGCGCTCGGGCTGTAAGGCCCTCGGCCGAGCGTTCGGGGTCTGTCGCTCGACGGAAGCGACCCCTCACTTAGTTTAGGGTTTAGGGTTCAGGGTTTAGGGTTTAGGGTTTGGGGTTATGGGGATCACAGAGGACTCCATTCCCCTAGGCACGCAGTCATGCGGGGCTCAGGCTAAAGACTCAGCGCAGTGGGTTTTCCAGAACGTCGCAGCGCAGTTCTCTGCGGCTATCCGGAAGCCTACCCGGAAGTGTGACGGATTTGCCGAGTTTGCCGCAGGTGGAGGGAGGGAGGAGGTTGTGCATGTGAAGAATCTCTGTGACGGCTCGCGCTCGAATTGGCGCCCTCAACAACGTTGACGGATGACGGGTTTCGTGTGGCTGCTTTCAACATTCAAGTCATACTGCTTACTCGATGAATCGATGCCATCAGGCAGTGGCTGCCACCGCCGGGGATGGGGATGAAGAGCTGCTCAATGAGCGGTCGGCTCAGCAGATCGCACTCTCGCACTCTACAAGTGTCTTGCCTGCACGTATACTGAACTCCAAAGAAGCTCGGCGTGCACAGGAACCGGAACACCAGATCGGAGCATTGGTCTTCTTTTCTGTGGCTCTGGCTTCCAGTAGGGGATGTGCCCTATGAGCCCTCAGCTAAGGCAGCTTGTCTCCGTCCAGGCGTATCTCCCAACTGGAGGCATGGGGAGGCAGACCGGGTTCCATGTTCTCAGTGAGCGTGGATGTAGCCTCTGCTTTGTTTCGAAGAAGCCCCGTGATCTGTCCTCGCCAGGCATAGAAGAGGAGGCCCACCTGTTGACTTTGAAAGGAATCGCTCAAGAGTCCAGTCAATAGCACTGAAGGGAACCGAAGCGCGCATGCATTCTCGTGGATTTCGGAGGTAAAGTTCAAGCTGGAACGTAACAAAGTCAAAGGCGTCAAAGATTTTTTGGCTCCTCGGCTTCCAGATATTCCTGTTGTTTTTTTTCCTTCCGGAAAACGCAGGAAGCCTAAACCTTAAACCCGAAACCCCAAACCCCAAACCCTAGACCCTAGACCCTAGACCCTAAACCCTAAACCCTAAACCCTAAGTGTCGAGTTCACGCGCCCAGGAGATGAAGAAGCATCAGCTTGATGCTGCGACCGGCAAGCGATGCCAGCGATTCGCGAGGATGTTGGCTCCAAGGTTGCAAGAAGACGTTGAGGGTTTAGGGTTTACGAAGATATTGGTGGACCCTTTTTCGTGGTTTCTGTGAATCAGTATTCTCGTACTTTGGGGTATATTGTGGGGGGGGGGGGGAAGCCCACATCCTTCATAGAGCAGGTCCTAAGTCACGTGCCAAATCCGTTTCAGCCACGTCACGCGCTCAGGTGACGCACCCGAAGTTCGAGTGGGGCTGTGCTGTCCTGATTCTCCTGTGTGCTGTCCTGATTGGTGTCGAAGCACACTGGTCTGTGGAGAACATCGGCCTTCCTGAGCCCCTGGTCTTCCGGGTGCTGAACTCGATCTTTAACATCACCTTTGCGGTGGAGCTGATACTCCGGGCAACGGTAGATGGCCTTCACTTCCT